GTACATATATATACACACACACATATATATATATATATATATATTATAGTATTTGAACACTTCACGAACTGGTGTTATTATCTTAATTTTGCCAAGTACCGAACTTTCGTATTAAAGCTATTTTCCACGGCATCTCGATGTATTTAAGACATCTTCTTGTATTTACGACGCACAGCGAGTCTTCTCGGCCATCATCCACCAGGACATACAGTTCTTTGACCTCACACACACGGGCGAGCTTAACAATCGCTTGGCATCAGACACCACGGTAGTGCAGACAGTTGTTACACAGAACATCAGCATGCTCACGCGCAACGTCGTGCAGGTATGATGCATGCTGAAATACATTCACACTTTCGTGCATGCATACTTGCACATATGTATACATGCAATATATGTATATATATATATATATATATGCATATGTTTGTAGGTAGGTATGTATGCATGCATGCTCTGCAGTCGCTCAACATATCATCGACTGCTTACTCTTGGTCTGCTGTGTGAGTCATTGGTGCGTTGCGCAGTTCTTTGGCGTAAGACGACTTTTACCCCCCAAAAAAATGTGAATGCGATGTGCCTGTTGTAATTATAGGCTAGCCATATGTCCTATAAGTAGTATTCAACTCATCTACGGACTCTTTCTATAAATAGCACTTATCCACTCCCGTGCTCGGTTTGTCTATAAACTAAACCCTAAAATCCCCATCACGTGACTGCGTTTACCTACCTGTGGCTGTGGGGTGTGTGTGGATCATTTTTCTACTACTTGTTACTTATTAATAGCCCTTACTCCAGTACTCTTATGTCTATTTATAGCACCTACTCCTACTCATCACGTGACTGCGTTTACCTACCTGTGGCTGGGGGGGGGGTGTAGATCATTGGTGCGTTGTTCATCATGTTCTACTACTCGTGGCGGTTGACGAGCGTCATTCTCAGTGTGGTGCCTGTCATCTGCATTGGCGCAGGTATGTGGATTTTTGGACTGGGGTTTAGGGTATTTAAGACTAGGATTTGAGGTATTTCAGGACTAGGGTTTAGAATAAAGACTAGGGTTTATGGCTATTTGGGGCTAGCGTTAATGATATTCAAGGGCTAGGGTTCTCCAGGACTATGATTCTTAGGATGCACGGTTTAGGGTTTTTAGGGTGTAGGGTTTGTGCATGTCCTTGCATGCATTGTTAGTCTCCTCGTGTAATGTTCGGTACATCATGTGCTGCTTATCAGGCGTACACATTCCAACTACGGATACATACACAATCATCTACTATCAAGGATCACACCCACTACCATAGCAACCGCATAGCAACCACATGTACATGCACAATCATCTATGCTTGTGCTATGCACAACGTGCTTCGCTTAGTAGTCGCTTACATGCGCGTATGCTTCTTCTTCTCTTGTGCTTGTTCTTATCTTCTTTTGTGTCCCTTTTTAGTCGTGTACATGCGTGTGTGTTTCTTCTCTTGTGCTTATTCTTATCTCCTTTTGTGTTCCCTTTTTAGTCGTGTACATGCGTGTGTGCTTCCTCTCTTGTGCTTGCTCTTATCTCCTTTTGTGTCCCTTTTTAGTCGTGTACATGCGTATGTGCTTCTTCTCTTGTGCTTATTCTTATCTCCTTTTGTGTCCCTTTTTAGTCGTGTACATGCGTGTGTGCTTGTTCTCTTGTGCTTGTTCTTATCTCCGTGTTTTTTTATTTGTTCTTATCTCCTTTTGTGTTTTTTTTAGTCGTATACGGTCGTCAGGTGCGTGGACTGCGTAAACGCTTTCAGGACACTTTGGCTAAAGCGGCAAAGACAGCTGAAGAGAGTATCAGCAGCGTAAGGACTGTGCGAGCCTTCGCCAACGAAGACAAGGTATGTGCTGCGGCTGTAGGGATGAGCGTATGTAAGCATGTAGAGATGAGTCTATGTAAGCATGTGTAGGGATGTGTGTTCTGAGTGTGTGGGGATGCGCGTATGTATGCATGTGTAGGGATGTGTCTATGTAAGCATGTAGGGATGGGGGGATGAGTGTGTGGGGATGAGCGTATGTATGCATGTGTGGGGATGTTGTGTATGCTAATGTGTGTAAGGATGTGGTGTTTATTCTTGGGTATGTTAATGTGTGTAGGGGCGTGTACATGTATGTCTATTGGGTGTCTATTTGTGTTGTGATACGTGTATGCTTTCTTGTGCATGCTGATGTGTATAGGGGTGTGTGTGTATGTTTTCTTGTGTATGCTGATGTGTATAGGGGTGTGTGTATGTCAGCCTATTGGGTGTGTCTGTATATATATATAAACCCAACATATTATACGCACTTATATACAGTGTTACAAACAATCTGCGAAACTTCCTACCTACCAACACTATTACAAACCTTCACCCATGTGCGCATGCACACTCATCCTCTCGCTTGCCTCATCCAGGCTTCGGACAAGTACAACGAAGACATCACCGATTCCTTCGGCATTGGCGTAAAGACAGCCCTGGCGGCGGGAGGCTTCTTTGGCGCGGTTTCGTTCCTGTTCCAGGGTGCTATAGTGCTGGTGTTGTGGTGAGTGGATTATAGGGTGCTATAGTGCTGGTACTGTGGTGCGTGGTTTATAGGGTGCTATAGTGCTGGTGTTGTGGTGAGTGGTTTATACTATATCTCGTCATGGCAATTTTCTATTTCTGTTATGTGTCGTATCTCTGCTGTTCATCTTACGTAAAACCCTAAACCCTGTCTTGCCTTGGCTGCTGCGGTGGTACGTATATACCGTTCCTACAGGTCACTCACTTGTGCTTCTGTGTTCCACTGACTGTCGTACGTGGGTGTTCTCAAAGTCATGTACATTCATTTCGCAGTAATCCCGGGACATAAAGTGTCCAATTTTATGGGACTTTTACTGTGGTTTCCGTCATAATTTGTTCGGTTTGGTTACTGTCCTATTTCCATTGGTTTGGTTTCTGTCCTATTTCCATTGGTTTGGTTTCTGTCCTATTTCCATTGGTTTGGGTTCTGTCCTATTTACATTGGTTTGGTTACTGTATTATTTCCATTGGTTTGGTTTCTGTCCTATTTGAATTGATCTGAGTACTGTCCTATTTACATTGGTTTGGTTATTGTCCTATTTGCATTGGTTTGATTACTGTCTTGTTTACATTGGTTTAGTTTCTGTCCTATTGTCAATGGCTTAGATACTGTCCTATTTGCATTGATTTGGTTTCAGTCCTATTTTGTTCTGTTGGTTGCTGTCCCTATTTATTGTCCTATTTTGTTCGGCGTGGTTTCTGTACTATTTGCATTGCTCTTGTTTCTGTCCTATTTTGTTCGGTTTGGTTTCTGTTCCTTTTTGTTCGGCTTGGTTTCTGTCTTATTTGCTTTTGTTCTGGTTACTGTTTTGTGGTATAGAATTGCCCACGCTCGCTCTCGGAATTCAGTACCCCTCTACTCACACTTTTAACATGACTATATCTATCCTACCTGAAACCCCACTTATATTTGTTAAAGACATATAGTACATATTTGCATACTGATATAGATATACCATTTACCCAAGGTATTGCTCTCTCGTACTTGTTGAATATATATTTACACTTGGATTAGTTTGCTGACATTCGAATTCTGATGTGGAATATCCGTTTATCCGTCATACCGCTCCCTTGCACTTACTATAACTACCATATACATCCACGCCGCCACAAATATCCTACCCATCTATCCATAATACACCCCCACCACACTATTCCTACCTACCAGGTACGGAGGGACGCTAGTTCTCGACGGCCATATGACTACCGGCCTACTGACTACCTTCATGCTGTACACCCTAACCACTGCGATGTCCATTGGTGTACTGTCGAGTGTTTATGGTGACCTCATGCAGGCGGTGGGCGCCAGTGATCGGCTCTTTAAACTGCTCGATACACTGCCACAGATCGAACCTGAGTATGGGGAAGGAGTGTTTGTGCCTACCTACCTATGGCTACCTATGCCTACCTTTTTGCCTGTTACTATCTGTTTATGTGTGCGTCCATTGCCTGGTATGGGGAATGGAGGTACAAGTGTGTGTTATTAAACACACTCCGTTGCTTCGTAGCAGTTGATGTATTCTTACCCATCTGTGAGACATCTTTGTTTGTTTGTGCAAGTGTGTGTTACTAGACACACTCCATTGCTTCGTAGCAGTTGATGTATTCTTACCCATCTGTGAGACATCTTTGTTTGTTTGTGCAAGTGTGTGTTATTATACACACTCCATTGCCTGTAGACCGTTTATTTGGTTCCTTAGTTTGTAGTTTATATAATTAATTGTTACTGTAAACCGTTTTATTTGGTTTCCTTAGTTTGTAGTATATATAAATAATTGTTACTGTATACCGTTTTTTTTTGGTTTCATTAGTTGTCATGTAGTTTAGATCAATGAGTGTTGTGGTTTACGTTCGTTTGGTTTCCATCTGTTTTTATTCGAAGGAGATACGTGAGTAAAAGTTATCGTTCTGTTGGCTCCCTTTTTTTGTCGTAGTTTTGACCCCACCCAGTCACCGCAAACAAAACGTAAACGCACTTCTTCGTCAGTGGTGACGTCCTACGGCGCACTCCGCACTCCGTCGCAGAGAGCCTCCGCAACAGCCGCACAGGTAGATTAAATAGCGAATTAGTGTGGTGCTAGTGCATATGATTGCGATTAATTCGTGAATTAGTGTCGTATGAGTGCATGTAGTTGTGATTAATTTGCGAAATAATGTTGTTTTAGTGCATATGATTGTGATTATTTCACGAATTAGTGTGCCATTAATGTATGTGATGGATGAGTGGATGGAGGTGCAAGTACTGTTGTACGTTTGGCAAGACGTTCGTACGTACCAAATGCATGCCGTTAGTATCATTCTATACCTTCACAGGTGTCTTATGTCTATTGCGAAGTAACATTCTATACCTTCACAGGCATCTGATGTCTATTACGAAGTAACATTCTATACCTTCACAGGCATCTTATGTCTATTGGGAAGTAACATTCTATACCTTCACCGACATCTTATGTCTATTGCGAAGTAACATTCATTCCTTCACAGGCTTGTCTACGTGTGCGGGTTTGTATTCTGTGACTGTTTGTATCGTCGGTTGCTCTTACAGTTGGGTATGTACAATTAAGCAAAAGACATTTAATTGTATATTAATTAAATATAAGACATTTAGTTGTCTATTATTTAAATAAAAGACATTCAATTGTCTATTCCGTACTAGCCAATTGACATATTACTTCTCCCACACAAGAAATGCATTGCCATTCTCATACGTGTAATGCGTTTGTTTGCAAACACTCTAAAACTCTAAATTCACAGAACTTGCACAGCCAATCAGCGCAGTCCCACGCACACGCCACTCAACGCTCATATGGAGATGTAGAGGCACCATCGACTGCGACTGTGTCTACAGGTATGCTTTCTGTTGGACTATCTACTGACTACGTATCTCCTGGTAGGTGATGTATATATGTATATATATATATATATATATATATATATATAGTGTGTGTGGATTGCTTTGGGAGTCGTTTGTCGCACCCTCTTATTACAAACATGCTGTCTATAGCTTTGCATACGGAGATGCCCTGTACAGGACATTGTACCACCAACAACCACCAACACCCCAACAACAACAGTTAGCAACGCTATCTATGGCATTCTCGACTGGGAATGTGTCTACAGATAGGCCATCAACCAGACACACAGCGCCACATGCATACATCTAGCACCATCTAAACCCTAAACCTTAAAACCCTAAAACCCTAAAACCCTAATCGGTGGGCCTGTATGAGTTCTTGGTGGATCCCCAGGACATCAAGAAAGGGTTTAGGGCAGAAACGAGGCAACAGATCCACCCACCCACCACCAACACGCAGAGACAATACCAACACAACTCACCCCATGGCATGTCATAGCACATCACCAGCACTCCTGCACCTGTACACCCACACCTTATACCATCACAACTCACCCCACAACTTACCCCATGGCATGACATAGCACATCAACGCATAGGCAAGCAAGCGCAAGTGCACACAGACAGACACTACGCACACCGTAGAGACGTCTACCATGGACGTACATTCAAGGTCACACATACACCCATATACGTACATTCAAGGACATACATACAGCCACGTACGTGTGCACACATGCACTGTACTGTTAAATACCTGTGTAGCCAGTCACGTACACACGCGCGTCATACTATGCACCTAAATTCATTCATCTTCATTTTTTTTTAACTATACACCTAAATTTATTCATCTTCATTTGTCCTTACACCCACCGCAGCGCTCCGAAGTGCGCGGCCTGCACCTGCGACCAAAACTTTGGGACAGGGCTGGGGCCAAATATCGGTGCCGGTGATGACGTCGACGCGACAACAACCTCACACGCGCATCAGAGGCCACATTGAGTTCCGTGACGTGTCCTTTGCGTATCCTTCCAGGAGTGACGTCATGGTCATTGATGACGTCTCTCTGACAGTGGCGCAAGGCAGTGTGGTAGCACTGGGTGTGTGTGTGTGTGTTTGCCCTGCACCTGTCCTGATTCCTTGTCCTCTTGCCCTGGGTACTGTGTTACGGTAAATGAGCCTATGAGTGCCACAGTGATTTATGCTGTATCACTCAGATTGGGGGTTATTATAAATCCACCTTCTGTGGGTGGGTGTAGGTGTGTGTGGGTGGGTGTCTGTGTGTGTCTGTGTGTCTGTGTGTGTCTGTGTGTCTGTGTGTGTGTGTGTGTCGTTCATGTTTCTATTCATATTCATACATTCTTTCCTATTATCATTTTCATGTTGTCCTGATCTCTTGTCCCCTTGCCCTACACCTGTCCTGATCCCCTGTCCCCGTTCACTGTACAGTTGGGCCGAGTGGCGGGGGTAAGTCCACCATCATCTCACTCCTAGAGCGCTTCTACGACCCTGTGCAAGGGCAAGTGCTTGTGGATGGCGTAGACATACGCACACACCACCCCCACGAATACCGCAGACAACTGGCCTTGGTCGGGCAAGAGCCTGTGCTGTTTGCCACAACAATCAATGAGGTATGTACGACGATCAATGGGTGTGTGTGTAAAATAATCTATGGGTGTGTGTGTAAGATATTCAATGGGTTAGTGTAAGATAATCAATGGGTGTGTGTAAGATAATCAATGGGTGTGTGTGTAAGTTAATCTATGGATGTGTGTGTAAGTTCATCTATGGGTGTGTGTAAGATAATCAATGGGTGTGTGTGGAAGTTAATCTATGGATGTGTGTGTAAGTTAATCTATGGGTGTGTGTGTAAGTTAATCTATTGGTGTGTGTGTAAGATAGTCAACGGGTGTGTGTGTACGATGATCAATGGGTGTGTGTAAGTCATCTATGGGTGTCTGTGTAAGTTAATCTATTGTGTGTGTAAGATGGGTGTGTGTTTACGATGATCAATGGGTGTCTGTGAACTATGATCAATGGGTGTGTGTGTACGATGATCAATGGGTGTGTGTAGACAGTGAATGAGCGTGTTAGGTGTGTATGTCACTGTAGCATTGCGGTGTGTACATAGCAACTAGTGTCGTTTGATGGCAACTACGTGTGCGTGTTGTATACAATAACCGTGAGCACGTGTTAGCTAAATATAGATGTGAGCACGTGTTAGCTATATATAGAAATGAGCACGTGTTAGCTATATATAGAAGTGAGCACGTGCTAACTATATATAGAAGTGAGCACGTGTTAGCTATATATAGAAATGAGCACGTGTTAGCTATATATAGAAGTGAGCACGTGCTAACTATATATAGAAGTGAGCACGTGTTAGCTATATATAGAAGTGAGCACGTGTTAGCTAAATATAGAAGTGAGCACGAGTTCTACAGGTGTGCGTCAGCTCGCACAAAAGGTTTTTCAGGGTGTATGCTAAATATAGAAGCCTCAAGGTGTATTCTAAATATAGACGCCTATATTGGTTTCTTTTTTCTTTTATTTTTATTTTTTTCTTTTGGGGGGGGGGGGGGTGGTTATCGGAGTATTACACTACGAACGGGCAGCTGTTGATATTCTATTCCATCGCGAAACCTTCCGCTCAGACCCAACACAACTTAAGCACGCACTCGCTATAGCCCTCTCGAGACCCCATACAACATACGTAGAAGGTGACTAACATTCGTATGGAAGGTGACTAATATACGTATGGAAGGTGACTAATATACGTATGGAAGGTAACTAATATACGTATGGAAGGTGACTAATATACGTATGGAAGGTGACTAATATACGTATGGAAGGTGTGTAATATACGTATGGAAGGTGACTAATATACGTATGGAAGGTGTGTATTATACGTATGGAAGGTGACTAATATACATATGAAAGGTGACTAATATACGTATAGAAGGTGACTAATATAAGTATAGAAGGTGACTAATATACGTTGTCTAACACGCACTCCAACGCACAGAACATCGCGTATGGCGTAGAGGGGGCGACGCAGGAAGAGGTCATACAAGCAGCTATGAAGGTATGTGTTCTATGAACATCTGTGTGGTATGAAGGTATGTGTTCTATGAATATATGTGTGATATGAAGGTATGTGTTCTATGAATATATATGTGATACGAAGGTATGTGTTCTATGAATATATGTGTGGT